AGCACATGGAGCCCTGTGGACCTAAGTTTGAATTCAGCCTCTGTCCCTGTCATGCTGTGTGCCTTTAGACAACTTGCTTAACCTTTCTGTTCTTCCTTTGACAGATAGAATGAATATGTTTCTTTCAAGAGGAGGTAGGGAACAAAATTTTAAAACACACATATACACAAGAAAAAGTGGGCTGGGTCAGATTCAGCAGTGGGGGGGGCAGGAACGTGAGTACCCTAAAACTCAAGGAAAAGACATCATTTCACATTCATAGACCCACACCTCCTGTCCTCCGGGGTCCAGGCCTTCTCAGCCCTGAACAGGATCTCAGTGAAATTAGAATGAGCAATGAATATGCGATTAAACTTCTTAGCTTAGCAATTAAGCCCTCAAACTCCCCCTCACATCTTGGCCTTAAGGACTCACTTCAGAATCAGCTATGCCCCCCGGCCTTTGCGCATGCTGTACCCACCCGGGTGAGCCCTTTGCCTACTGTCCTTCCAGTTCATGCAGCGCCCCCTCCTCTCAGGAGCCTCTTTTGAGTGCCAGTCTCTGGGCCTGCAGCCTGACCCTCCGCTTTCCAGCCCTGACTGTCTGGCTCTCTCCTCCCAGTCCGGGGAGCCGTGAGGGCCAGGCAGAGCGGACTCTGGGCCTCCAGTGTCCACAGTGGAGAAGCGCAGAGCGTCCGAGCGTCCCCGGAGAGCAAGCCCAGCGGCCCACTCAGTCTTTCTCAGACTCTTTCTTCCTCTGAAGAACGGAGCAGTGCAGCCTGGTGTGCAGGCGCGGGAAGCTGCTCAGGGCACCGCCAGTCGTGTGGGAAAGAACAGCCTGGCGCTGGGGGTGGAGCTGATGGCCAGTCAGCCCTGACTCCAGTCCATCATCCAGCCTCAGTTTTCCCCTTTGGCGACACTCTCCCTTAGACAAACACAGACGGAACTCCACCTGCATGGCAGCGCCTCTGCTGGTGCTGACTCAGAGCGGCAGCCAAGGCAGAGCTGGCTGGGCTGGCACAGGCTGCCCTCGCCAAGCTGGCGGCCCTTGGCAGTGCCCAGCTTTCCTGGTGGCAGCTGGAGAAGGGCCCAGTCCTGGTTGCTGGGGGACTCGGAGACTGAGATGAAGCTGAGGCCCCTTCTGAGAGAGGGCAGACTCTGCTTGGGCACAGGGCGCTCTCTGTGCTCTTACCAAGCACCGAAAAGAGGCCAGACCTGGCTGTTCGGGACTTTGCTCATGCCGTTCCAGCTGCCACGGTCACTTTTCCTTTTCACTGTGCGGATCCTGCCTCTTCTGCTCTCACTCTAGAAAACACGGCCTCCGGGAAGCCTCCCAGTTTCTGGATTGGGCAGACACCTCCATCTGGGTTAACACAGTGCCTGGGTGTTCCTCATCGTAGCTCAGATCACCCCGTTATAGGTGGACTGTGAGCAGCATTAGGCACTCGACAGACACCGATGGAGTGCTTTGTTGGTATCAGGCTAAGAGAACACCGTAGGGTGGGTGATGCTGCTGCTCCCGTTTTACAGACAGGGAGACTGAGACTCAGAGGCTCAGTAGTGGGAAGTGTCTGTGCCTGGAGCCTGTGCCCGGTTAAGGTGCAGAAGTGGTCTCCATTTCCAGCGATAGCGAGCTTACTCAGTCTGGTTGTGGAAATGGTTACAAGTGGACAAAGCAATGTCTGCTCTGCTCTGCTACCTGGCCTTAGCGGAAGCACAAGCTAGAGGCGTGGGCATTTCAGAGCTGGTCACTTCTAACATCCAATCATTCCTCTTCCATTTAATGGAACCCTGGAATTCAGCGGAACCATTCCTCACTCAGCATAAGGACACTTCCCAGCATCCTTTCAGACAAGTGTGGCCACATGACTACGTTCTGGTCAATGGGTTGTGAACAGAGCGGGTAGATAGGACTTCTAGGAAGGGCTTTAAAGGGAGAGGGGGAATGTGTCCTGACTTCCTTATGCCCTGGGATGCAGATGTGATGACTGGATTGCAAGCAGCCACTTTGTTCCATGAGGAGGCAGCCACTTGCTGAGGATGTGGAGCAGTAAGGTAAGAGAACCTGTCCTCTGGACTCTGTGGTGCCTCAGCTCCAAAGTGACTACTTATGTTCATGAGCAAATAACCCTGTGAGCTTGCGATGCTCTGGTTGAATCTTGGATCCCATCATCAGCCCCGAGTTTCTCTGCTGCATTTGTCCCTCCCTGTCTCTGTTCTCCATCCTCACCCAATCTCAGGCTTGATGAATAGAGAAGCCTCTCTCTTTGGCAGTGATGGCCTCCAAGGGCCACCCACAGTGACCACAGCCGTGTCCCCTGGACAGCGTAGCCTCCATTCCATTTGTGATTATATACAAGGAATCAGGTCCTTCAGGAGGTGGGTGGAAGATCCTTGACAGAGCACCATAGTCTCCCAGGCCCCTTTCTGTGCCCTTCAACACACACACACACACAAGCCACCACCAAGGGCCCATTCTGTGCCATCATCAATCTGAGAAGGGAGACTCCCTCTACCACCTCAAAGATTGCCAGTTACATCATAAAGAACAGACATCAAAACACAGTGAAAACATTCCCACACGTAAAAACAAGCCTCTAACTAAATACAGACATGGCTCGTAAACTCACCAACAGCCGTCTACCAGGTCCGAATTAGCTAAATGCTGTGTGACCCCTAGCATTAGCTAAATGCTGTGTGACCCCAAGCAAGTGACTTGGCTTCTCTGGGCTGTCATTGCACCCTTTGTAAGCTGCAAATCTGAAGTGCAGCTAAGAGGGATTTCCTCATAGTGCAGCTATGTAAAACCATGGCATGGTTTCACACAGTACCTCAGAGCAAAAGCCCAATTCCTCACTGACATTTATAAGGCCCCACAGAACCTGCTCCTTCCCCGCCCTGCCCTCACCTCTCCCCGCACCCCCCACCATTCTGCTCCAGTCACTGGGGCCTCCAAGATGACTCTCCATCACAACAGCCACCATCTCGCCCCAGCTTTCGCACGGGCCATGCTCTCTGCCCAGAATGCTCTTCCTGGTCACTCCCTTCTTACCACCCCAGGTCAGACTCAGGGTTACCTCCCTGACCCCCCATCATGCTTAGCATGTAGCTAAGCAACCCCCCAACAGTCATTGTTCATAGGATCCTTAGTGTGGCCCAACCCATCTGAAAAGGGGAGCACAGGCTGGGAACTGAATACTTCATCTCTCCCCCCATAGAATCAGACCCCATTTAAGCCGGTCTCTACACTGTGAATCCAGGTCCAAATTCACAGGAGATACAAGGGACTGCGGAACACGGCAGACGACACCACGGGAAGCGAAACTGCAAAACCCAGAACAGTGATGCGGTCACTTTGACAAATACATTCAAGACAAAATTAAAAGAGGTGGACGAGGAAGCGCTCCGTTAAGAGAACCTTAGGAAGCCATCAGTGACGCCTGACTGATTCACCTCCCAGAGCAGCACAGTCAGGCATCACTTTGGCCATCTCACGGTCGTGCCAGCTTCGTAAGGGGTGGACAAGCCCTGGTGGCAGAGCCCACGACTCACCTGGGTTGGACGGTCCAACCCACTGGGGGCCCCGCTGCTTATGTGGTTTGTCCTTGACACAAACATCCTCCAGGGACCTGTGACAATACATCAGAAGAGACACAGAAATGTGGACGCTGGATGGATTTTTTTTTATTATTACAAAAGTTTATTTTTACATCATTTTGTACATTTTTTTTCCCATCTCAATTGTAATCCCTGCGGGTTTCCCATCACCAAATCACCTGTGTGCCACCACCATAATCCCGTGCATTTCTCTCCCCCCCCCCCGTTTTTGATCCCATTCCCCACTCCACCCCCACAAAATGTCTCTGGTACATGGCTGTCCATTATTTTTGTTATTTTCTCGCCTGGTCCATTATACTCCTGCTATGAGTGAAACCATCCGGTATTTTTCTTTCTCTTTCTGGCTTATCTCACTCAGCATGATCTTTTCCTGCTCCATCCAAGTTGCTGCAAAAGACATGTGTTCCTCTTTTTTGGTTGCTGAGTAATATTCCATTGTATATATGTACCACATCTTTTTTACTGGATGGATTTTTGATGCTATTAAGGCACCACAGTTTTGCACGATACTAGAATGTGGGGTTGTGTTTTAAAACAGGGTCTCTCCCCTCAGCACCACTGGTATTCAGGGCAAGATCAGCCTTTGAGAATGTCCAGCCCCTAAAGGCGAATAATAGCCCCCCCCAGTGGTGACGCCCACAAATGTCCCTGGACATCACTGGGCATCCTGTGGGCACAAAAGCCTCACCCCAGCTGAGACCAGTGCTTTAGACACTAAAATAGTTCCCGATGGAAAACCATTTGGGGTTCGCTCCAAAATAGGGAGGGGTGGGGGCAGGGAGTGTGTTCAGGTAGATCACTGTTAAATCAGTGGGTGCCTGTTGGGGGCAGGGTTGTTTTTCTAATCTCTCTACTTGAGTGCTTGACATTTTCCACGAGGAAGAGTGGGAATACTAGGGAAGTTCCAGTAAAATCCAGAGTTCGGTTCATCACGGCGTACAAAGATGTGGATGTCCCGTCATCCTCGGGGGACAGGACACGGAGATGGGGACCGATTGAGAGCTCTCTCTGGCACCTTTGCAACTTTTCTGTAAATCTAAAATTACTCCAAAGTAAAACGTTTATTTTTTTAAAAAAAAATATAAGTGAACAATAAATAAGCAGGGAGGGGTCAGGCAGCAGCCTGAGTCCCCGGGCATGTGGGGCTGTGTCACAGCCACAGCAGACACCCTGAGCAGAGCGCCCCCCTTTCCTCACTCCCCTGCAGAAATCGGGGGGCAGCCTTAGGCTCCTCTGCAATTGGCCGCGCTCTATGGGTGGCCCACGGGCCAGCGGCCGGGGACACCCCCAGAGCAGGGAGGGCAAGAATCCACGTTCAAACCCACTTTATTCTCTGCAGACCAGACGCACTCCTCCGTCCCTCCCTCCCCACCCCAGATCGTGGCCACCTAGGGGCTGCGGGTCTCAGAGGGGCTCGGGGGGCCTCTCCAAAGGCCCATCCACGGCCCCCATGGACGCGGCGCTGCAGCGGTGGTGTGAGCTGGCTCTGGCGAGCAGCTCCAGCCTGCGGGAGCGCAGCCGGGCCTGGATGGCCCAGATGGGGGGCCGGTGGCCGGGCAGGGAGGGGTCCTCGTCACTGCAGCTTTCCACCGTGGCGTCAGAGCCATCCTCCGTGGCGGCCACCGACTGCTTGCACACGGGGCAGGAGCGCCGGGCGGCCTGGGAGAACCAGGGGTCGATGCACCTGCAGTGGTAGGTGTGGGAGCAGGGCAGGATCTTGAGCTGGTCGCCCTCCTCGTACTCGTCCAGGCAGATGGCACACAGGTCGTTGCGCCGGGTGAAGGTGCGCACCTGGGCCCTCTGGCCCGCCTGCACCTTGGTGGCCGGCCCCCGGGTCCACCAGGCCCACAGCCAGTGCCAGAGGTGGCGCAGGATGAAGAAGGAGGAGGTCATGAGGGCCAGCGCCCGGCCCAGCAGCCAGGAGATGGCCAGCACGGGGTGGCAGTCCAGGTCAGGGCAGGGCGGGTAGTCCGGGAGCAGGGCGACGTGCGCCGACTTGTCACAGCGCAAGATGACCCGCAGGTCCTGCGAGGCGGCCTCGCCCACGAACACCGAGGGGATGACAATCTGGCGCCGCAGGTCTTCGTACACGTGGGCCATGCGCAGCAGCTCGTCCGAGCGCACGTTGTGCACGATGGCCGCCTCGAACCCGGCCCGCTGGGCGTGGAGCACCTTGAGGTCAAACGTGCAGTCGTAGCGGCGGATCAGCACGATGGCGCCCAGGGAGCCGTTGCCCGGCCGCGGGCCCTCGATGGGGTGGCAGGCGTTGGCCGGCTTCGCCTCCATCAGGTAGCCCCGCACGCCCTGGGGGGCCAGGGACGCCCCGAACAGGGCAGGCATGCCCGCAAAGTCCACCGAGCTCGAGTTGCCATCCAGCACTGCCCGCACCACGGCCCGCGAGGGCACCAGCAGCGTCCAGAGGATCAGGAAGGCCTGGGCCACCCGCGGGGCCGGCGCGGGCCACCGCTGCCGCATGGCCGAGCTCCCCCTGCCGGCTGTCGGTGGCGCTAGGTCCCGCCGGGGACTGCGGACCTGAGGCCTCCGCTCATCTCCAGAGCCGCCCTGGGGCGCCGTGCCTGTGCCTGAAGGGAACAGACAGAGCTCAAGCTGGGGGCGCCGAGGAGGTGAGCTTGGCGCGGAGGCCGGGCAGCCTAGGCAGAGGCAGTCCCCGGTGGCAGCGCCGAGGGCATTGTGTCTTGGAAGGCTGGTCAAGGGAGGAAACCTCCCCAGCTGACCTTGCTGGCAGATGACGCTGGGGTAAGGAGTCCCGGGGTTCTAGATACCCCCGGCCTCTGTGACATCATCCTGCTCCCAGAATGCTCAGAGGCTTGGGGCCTGGGCCGCCACAGAATGCCTGCGTCCCTGAGCAACTTTGGAAAAAACCTTCCAGAAGGCTCAGGGAGCCCCAATCTGAGGACCTAGTAAGACCCAGGGGTACCACAAAGTGGGCTGATGACATGGTCCCAACACTCACTCTGGACGTGCCGTTTCCCCGACACGGGCTCAGGGAGGTACCAGTGTCACCCCCTTTCGAGTCTCCCAGAAAGGCCTGCACGTATTCAGTGCATGCTCTCCCCTAGCAGGTTAGTTCTTAAAGCCGGCGTTCAGACCGCGGGTCCCTCTCTCCCTCTCCTCGCTCTGCTCCAGGGACAAGGGTCTCCTGCACCCCGCCAGGCCTGCTCCTGCCCCAGGACCTTTGCACGGGCTGCGCCCTCTGCCTGACACCTTTCTCCCTCCAGCTGGCTCTTTCTCATGGCTTATAGCTCAGTTTACAGGTCCTCAAAGTCTCACTAGACATGACCAGGGAAGGAAACGTGCCGAGGTCAGCGCCCGCAGCACCTGCTGGGCCCTCAGGCTCCCCTCAGCACTTCCTCTCCGGCCACCGCCACCTCCTCTCTCGCTTGGCCAGAGCTCTGGGCCTCGGCTCCACCTCCTCCCAGCCCTCCTCCCTCCACCTCCCATTCTCGGGTCGTGACTCCAGGAAAAGCACCCTCTCTGCACCCCAGTTTCCACATTGGTAAAATGGATATAACCGTGAGACACTTCTAGGACTGGTGCTGATGCAATTAAACAAGAAAAGGCACAAGTCTTGCTCAGCAGGGGTCCGGCTTTATCATTCCTGAAGAACAGACAACAGACGGGCCTCCAGCTCAGATGCTTCCAGTTCACTACAGGGTAACCAGGAATTTCCTGTAAATCTCAATCCCCGGCTCACGCCCAGTCTCTCGGCTCTCCCATGGCTCCCCATTGCCCACCAGAGGAAATTCACGCTCTCCCTTCGCTCGCGATCCCCACAACCAAGCCCCTGCAGGTCTCGAAAGCCTGAACGGATCACGATGTGTCAACCTCTAGAACCTTGCAGGTGCTATTCCTCAACTGCACGTTGCCAGGTGACTACTTATTCTTTGGTTTTCTCAGCTGGTCTGATACCTCCGGGTGTTGCCTTCAGCAATGACAGAGAAAGAGGCCCAGGTGGGGGAGACCCCACGGGACCACAGAGGCAGAGGTTGGAGCCATGCATCTCCAAGCCAAGGCTGCCGGCCACGCCAGGAACGGGAGATTAGGCCCCCCGACTTCGCTGTGACCCCTGGGGCTGACTCCCCTTCTTTGCATGCCAGCCTCATGCTGGGGAAATAGGGAAGAGCAAGTCCCGAGCTCAGCGTGCCATGGCGGGTACAGTGTTTGCTGATTCTGCACCATCCCCTCATCGCGCAGAAGGGGACCTGAGAGGCTGAGGGCTAGAGGCTGTACCGCCAGTAAGAGCCGGCCGTCCCCTAAGCCAGCTCCCCCTCTCGCGGCTTCAGGTCGTTCGGACCCACAGAGATGTGTCTTTGGCCTTCAAGATGACAAATACATTGTGTGTCTGTCGTGGGCCAGGCCTGGGCTGGGAGTGGAGAGAGAGGGAGAGAAAGAGGCGCAGAGAAAGACAGAGACCGGCAGTGATAAGCAAAGTGCTTGAGAGACACAGATACACGCAGAAAGAGAATGAAGCAGGGAGAGAGAGATCGCTGGTGTTATTTATTTGTTCATCAAATATTCTCTAAGCATCTGCTGTGTGCCAGCTCCGGGACTGAGCACTGGGACAGAGAAGTGACCAAGACAAGACCCAGCCCCACCCATCTGGGGCTCTGCTCAGCACAGGAGGGGACATTCTACCTGAACAGGAGGGCCCCCTGGCGCCGCGGACCTCGCCTGTCTCCCCGCCACCCCCCTCAGCAGTGGATTTCAGCATATCCGCCTGTTCTGCTCCCCACTCCGGTGAATCTTTTCATCCCCCACACTTCTGGCCTACACCCCAGCTCTTCTATGAATAAATAAATCTTTTTGAAAAAAAGGGTACAATTGCCCCTTGAACAACATGGGTTTTCCAATTTTATGCAGATTTTCTACATCTCTGAGTTCTACATTCCGGGGTTCAGGGGTGAGATCCAAGACAAGGAGCTGTGAGCAAGGGGGGTCCCAACCCTCGTGCGCTGCTCAAGGGAATCTCAAACAGCGGTGAGTCCCACAGAGATATAAGACAGTAAGACGGGATCGAGTCTGGAAGCAGAATCAACTGAACAGTGGTAGAATTCACGAGTGAACGTCGAAGGAAAAACAGCTTATTTGCATAGCAGCGAAGTCACCCTCGGAGGGGCTTGAAAAGTAAAGTGGTGACTGGCCAGTGGAGGAACCTGGACACTCCACCAGGAGCCCAGGTCAGCCACCCGTGTTGCCCAGCCCAGCCTGCAGCGGGGTCAGTGACTCCCTGGGGCTCTGAGGAGACACGCCCCCACCCCCGTAATCACGGCCGCATCTGACATCCCTGGAAGGGACACGCTACCAAAGCCCTACTCATACTCAGTGCTCTACAAAAGCCACGAAGGAGAGGTGCTGTCCAGAGTGGAGGGCACGAGGGGGCGAGGACAATGGAATGCAGCAGCGAGGGATTCAGGGTGGCCGGAGGTGGACACTCGGGAAAAGCGGTGAGCCGCTCATATGGTCGGAGATGTGTACCCAGGCTCATTGCCTGGTTTTGACCTTAATTTATTTTTTAAGATTTATTTTATTTACTTACGCATACAGGCCAGAGGTGCAGGGGGGTGGTGGTGAGAGGATTCATCAGAGACAGTGAGGAGCAGAACAGGCGGATTGACTGAGGTACACTGCTGAGGGGAGTAGCGGGGGGACAGGAGAGGTCTGCTGCGCCCTGTGGGTCACTCCCTGGCCGGGGATTGAATTTGTGCTGCAGGGGCTGCGGACAGCTTCATAGTGCTGAGACTTCACCTCTGTACCACGAGGGAGGCCACCAGCTTTGACCTTTATAGCAGGCGTGGTCGGCAGCATTATTATTACAGCAGCAACGGTAAAACGTCACCACTGGGGAGCACAGGAGAAGGGTAGACAGCAACTGTTTCCTGCAACTTGTAGCTCTGCAACTTCTCTGGAAGCTTTGATTCTAAACAGCTTAAAACTAAAAAGCAGCCAGGGCCTCCCTGGTGGCCTAGAGGTTAAAGTGTCAGTGCTATCAAGCTATCACTAACCACTGCAGCATGAGCTCAATTCGAAAGCAGGAAGGTGACCCACATGGCTCCACAGATCTTTTCATGTTTTGCCCCCTGCTCCCCTCAGCAGTGTACTTCGTCGATCTGCCTGTTCTGCTCCCCACTCTGTCTCTGGTGAAGCCTCTCGCCGCCCCTGAGCCTCTGGCCTGTACCCCAGTTCTGTATGCACAAATAAATACATCTTTAAAAATAATAATAATAATAATGAAAAATTAAAAAGTAAAAAGACGGAGGAGGAACAGGAGAAGGAGAAAACAGAAGAGGAAGGAGGAGGACAAGGAGGGAGAACTCTGAAACGAAAGTATCTTTAAGAAATCGTCTCTGCGTGACCGGGCATTTCAACCAAGACTTGAAGTGAGAGGAGAGTGGGAGAAAGGAGAGACAGGGCAGCGCCCAGCGGTCCAGGAGGAGGCCGGCCGGCCGCAGAGGGGCTCGCGGCGGGAGGGGCACAGTACACCTGAGGGAGGCAGACGGGGTGGTGGTGTGGCGGCAGGGATGAGAGGGGCTGGCTGTTCTGCAAGTAGTTTAGGGGAGGCCCGCCCAGAAAGTCCTAGGAGGAGGATGGTGGAAAGGGGAAGAGGGAGGTGAGAAGCCCGCAGGAGTGCTCACAGGCGGGCGTCTGTGGGCAGAGCTCGGCACCCTGGGGGCCCCTTTGCACGCTCCCATGGAAGGCCCGTCACTGTTGGGGGCCCCTGGGGCGTGGGGTGAATCCTGCCAGCTTCTTGCCTGACTCGGGTGAGAGCCATCTCGGGCTAGGCTGCCAAGGGGCAGATGCCGGAAGCGTGAGGGCCTGAGGGTCCGGTAGGCCGCGGGGCCTCAGAGCTCACCGCCAGTGCAGAAGCAACTGGATACACACTGTGCCAGCTCATTAAAATGAAGGAAAATGAAAAACTCAGGTCCACACGTGCTCAGCACATTTCAAGCCGCATGGGGGTAACCACGTTGGCAGCACAGGTCTAGAACATTCCCATCATGGCAGGAGATTTTACGGAATAGTCCTGCACAGGAGGATTTTAAGCAAGAGAGGGACGCCATGTGGCTGACGCTCTAGGAAAGTCCCTCTGGGTGCTGAGGAAAATAGTTTATTGGGGTTGAAGCTAAGAGCGTGGGGAGGAGGCAGGGACAAGCACTCAGCCCGGCATCACAGAGGCTGGGACCAGCAGCCAGGGGGGCCAAGGTGCTGGGGAATAGTATCGCCAAGGAGTCTGGTCATTTGGGTGTGGGGTGGGGGTGGGGAAGGTGAGGTGCTGCTCTGCCATGAGAGGTGGGTGGAAGTGGGGCTGCCGGCCCCAACTCAAGGGCAGACACTGAGCACTGTCTGAAGGGGCAGGGGAAACCCAGGGGTGTCCTCGGGGCAGCTGGACTCCAGGGCCCAGGCCTGGGCTCAGGTAGCAATCTGGGCTCTCGGGCACTGTGGTCACCGGCCGGGCTGGCAGTCGCTGGGCCATGATGTAACTTGTCAGGCGGAAGCAGAGCCTCGTGCCCGGGCCCAAAGGCACAGCTTGCCGAAATGCTAACAAGTTTTGCCTCCAAATGCTGGTGGAGTATGCGTGTGTGTATGTGTGTGTTTAATTCTGGAATGAATTTAATTCTAATTCCGCCGACTTTGGGGATGGGAAACAGCTGTCTTAATGAGTTAAACAGTGGGTTTAAAATAGCGAGCATCTGTTCACCGTCTGAGCCAGCGCCCGCCGAGGCCACCCAGAGGCTCCGGGGCTCACAGTTCAGGGGGCCTGGGGTTGTGGCTCTGGGGATGATACTGCACACCAGGCAGCTTCACGCCAGCCCTGCCAAAGCACAGGTCACCTCCCCATGGGACTTCAGCC